TGGCACAGGACCGGCTGAAACAAATGGTCACCTTAGTCAACACTGTCTCCTTTCAGCCTTGATCCCATTTAATCCTCAGCACTATGCTATGTGGGGAGCGTGATCATTCAGGTTTTATAGACTTGAAAATAGGTGCTCAGAAACATTGCTTGCCCCAGCTTATATGGAAAGGAAATGGCAAGATCAGAATTTGAACTCAGTTCTGCCTGGCTCCAATTGCCACCCCCACCCCCACCCCCCATACACACAGTGTTTACCACGTGCTACTCTGTTCTAAGTCTTTTACAGGGATTATTCACTAATCCCCACAAGAGCCTCACAAAGTAGGTTACCTGGAACCTGGAACCTGAGGTCCAGAGAAGTTCGTTCCCGGCTCAGGGGTCACACAGCCCGCAAATGATGGAGCTGGGACCTGCACCCGGCTCCAGGCCCTGCACTGCCTCTTCGTAAGCATGTGGCAGATCCAGAACTGATGTCCAGCGCCCTGAGGCCAACCCAGTGCGGGGAGGAGGGAAGGGTTTGTCTGCCCCCTTCTACCCTGTTCCCTAGAAATACCTGGGGAAGTTAGAGTGTGAGTTTGAGTTTTATTTCCCATTATTCAATCAACAGCTCTTCGCCCAACAATTCGCTCTGTGTTCATTCAGCCTGTGCTGCGTAGCCCTGGGGAGACAATGGTGCCTGAGACCGTCCCCTCCTGGGACTTGCATTCCAATGTTGGAGACAGACCTGTCCTCAAGACTGCGATGACCCAGAGTGGCAGGGCTGAGTCATGGGAGCCCAGGAGGCTGCCAGAGCCGGGAAGGAATGTCTCATCCAGCCTTGGGGGTCGGAGAGGGCTTCCTGGAGGAGGGAACATCTGCACTGGGGCTCAGAGAACAAGGTAGCAGAGAGCAGGTTGGCCGTGGCTCTGAGGAAAGGTGCGGATCTGCGCGGTAGTCTGAGGTCTGGACCACGGACCAGCAGCGCCCTCTGCTGGAAGCATCCCGTAGTGCAGCGACCCAGGTACTGCAGGAGTTTGGAAAAGCCTCGCGTTGAACCAAATTCTATGATGAGAGAATCCTGTGCGCCCAGCTTTGGCCAATTTACGTGTCTAAGACTTGATTCATTCAGTCAACCGCTCAGCAAATACTTATTGAGCACGTACTTTGCACCAGGCTCCGTTCTAGTGCTAATGATGCAGTGCTGACAATACAGAGCCCTATCCATACACTAACTCATTCAATCCTTGCAGCCTTTGACCTCCCCCATTTTACAGATTCAGAAAATTGACACACAGAGAAGTTACGTTACTTGCCCAAGGCCTTCACAGCCAGTAAGTGCTGGAATCAACTTCAAACCCAGAGCTCAATTTTTAGCCATTACAATTACCTCGCCAATAATGTGATGAAACATCATAATACGACGTTACATAAAATAATTTTAGGCCCTGAAAAGTTTTGTGAACAAGATCAAGCAGGGGAAAGCGGTAGTGTTTTGGTGAGACGGTGTAATTTGGGAGGGGCAGTCAGGGAAGGCCTCTCGGAGGAAGCGGCCTTTGAGAAGCTCCCAGACTAACGAATGGGATCTGTGGGTAGAGAGGTCCAAGCACGGGGTACAGCCAAAGGAAAGGCCGGGCGGCAGGCCCTGCAAGAAAGCCGTCGGTCTGGGATCCAAAGTTTCCAAGGTTCCAGTTGCGCTGAAAGTCGGCTTTCCAGACTCCAGCGCGCTGGAATCGTCCTCGGATTCCACCGGCCCGACAGGCCACGGGTTCATCGGCGCCGATTCTGCTACTGCCTCAGGGCCGGGGCCGCGGGGCTCCAGTGGAGCCGGGCGGTGGGCGGGGTCGGCCTCACCTGCGGGGGCGGGGCTCCCGGCCGCCCCGCCCCTCGGAGGAGACGCCAGCGGCCGGAGACCCGGGGTGCAGCTGGGAGCGGCGGGGCGTGAGCGGTGTGCGGGAGGCGGCCGGGCGCATCGCGGCGGAGCGAGTCCCGGAGCCGCCCGCGCTCAGGTGGGCCCCCAGAGTGCCGGGCGGGAGTCCCGGGGACCGCGAGGATGGGGGTGGGGGGAAGGGTGAAGGCTGAGCCCCGCGCACCCTTGGGCCCGCTGGCTTGGCGACGGGGACGGGCCTTGGGGCCCCTAGGAGCCCCCTGCCCCGCCCTGGGGCTCCCCACCCCGGGTCCGGAGGCCCTGCTGGGGCGCGCCCCCTTTCCCGGGCGCAGGTAAACAGGAGCGAAGACGGGGCGGGGCCTGGGGGGGAGGGAGGGGGCCCTTGTGACGGCCTAGCTGGGGAAGCCCGGGTGCGCGGGACTGGGCCGGCCGGCCAGGGGGAAGGTGTGTGGTTTCGGGGGCTGGCCGTGATGGGGGCCTCCTGCCCGCTGGTGTGGGAGTGGAGCTGGTGCGTGTGAGAGACGGTGTAGGAAGCCCAGGTGTGTGTGATGGTGAAGAAGCTCAAGTGTGTGAGCGATGGCGTCAGGCGGTGGGTACCGGTGAGAAAGGCAGATGGACGGTCCGTGGAACCCTGCGCGGGCGCCGAGGGACTGTGGGAATGATGTGGAACTGTTTCGGAGATAGGAACACGTGGGCGACCTCTAATTGTGTGTCTAATGCTGGGGGTGGGGGCTGTGGCGCGGGGGAGGGAGTTGAACTGTTTATAGGATTAGGTGCGTGACCCGGAGCTTGCGGGGCTGGGGCAGTGTGTCTGCCTGTAAGGTGCGGGGACCCGCGTGGATGGCCAGGGTGTGCCTGTGATTAACACTGTCAGCTGTGCGGTTGTGCGTGCATGAAAGAGTTGTTCGCGGGGCTGAGTGTGGGCAAAATCGTGTGAAAAAGGGTTGGAGCTGTGAGAATGACTCTCCACGAACTTGTGTGAACCTGACTTCGTGGGGCTTGTGTGTGACTCTGAGTAGGGTGTGATATGCACACACATATATATACATGTATAGCGAGAGGGATTGGCCAATGCCCGACATATATGTAGAGATTGACCAAGTGAGAGCCTGCAGAGAATCCATGGATTATGTGCCTTCCCTACTGTGCGTCTCAGTGTATATGATCGTGAGCACGTGCGGAGGTACCCAGACCACTGGGCTGCTTATGGTGGACTAGACGGCGTCCGCAGAAACCGTGGATGATCTCTGTATGTCTCCACAGCTGCCTGGGACAGGACGGCTGAGTCTGTGTTCAGGAACCATTGATATGCCCACATTTGGAGCTCTGTGTATCTGCGTGCGTGCTGCGTACAGGTGTGTGAATCCCTGGCTGGCCTGGCAAGGTGTTGGAGGAAGTGGGGAAGGAGGTGACGGGTCCCCAGTGACTCCTGGGAATGAATGTGTGTGCATGTGCACACGTGCCTGGAGGAGGCACGTGATGGAGAGTTAGGGGCTTGCAGGACCATGTGAGCGTGTGAGAGGGATGTGCCGTGGGGGTAAGTGCAAGGAGACAGGCTGAATGTGAGTGATTTGGTTATCTTTTCACGGGGGGTGGGGGGGGGGCGGACAGAGCTTCTGTGTGTGTTGGCTTTTATTCCTGAGAGGAAAATAGACCTGTGTGTTGGGTTGTATTTCCAAGAGGAGAACATACATGTGTTATTTCTAAAAGAGTATATGTGTGTGTGTGCCCAAGTTAGTGTGTTGCATTAGTTTTGTTTTTTTTTTTTTAAGATTTTATTTATTTGAGAGAGAGAGAGAATGAGCCAGGGGAAGAGTAGAGGGAGAAGCAGACGCACTGCTGAGCAGAGAGCCTGATGCGGGGCTCGATCCCAGGACCCTGAGATCATGACCCGAGCCGAAGGCAGACGCTTAATGACTGAGCCACCCAGGCGCCCCTGTATTAGGTTTTCTGAAAGGAAAATGTGGATGTGTGGGACTGTATTCAGTTTTATTTTTTAGAGGAGACAGAACGTGTCCAGAGTATGTCGTGTTTCTGAGAGAATGTTTATCACGTTATATTTTTAAGAAGGGAGTGTGTGTACGTTGAGTTGTATTTCTGAGAGGGGAGCGTGTGTATGTGCGTGTGCACGTGTGTATGAGCGGGTGTGTTTCTGAGAAAGTATATATTGCACTGTATTTGAAAGAAGAAAGCATGTTTTCGATTTCTGAGAGGAGAATGCGTGTGTCGCGTTGTGTATTTAAGAAGGGAGGGTGTGCGTGTGTTGGGGTCTATTTCTGGGAGGGGACTGTGTGTGTGTGTGCTTGTGTGTGTGTGTGAGGGCTCCGGAGGCACCACGAGCTGTCACTGCTTTGTCACCCACAGACAACCACGGGAAGTTTCCCCCTTGAGACCCCCACCCATTAGCATCGAGGCCTCAGACTCTGAGCTGTCACATGGCTAGTGTGACATCTCTGGGCTGTGGCTGCCACACGTGTGTCCCAACATGCCTTGGGCTGGCTGAGCCTGTCTGCAGTGGAGAGTGGAGCCCCTGTTCCCTTGGGCTCTGTCAGCTCCTCAGGTCCTGGGAGCTGACACATGGGCTCCCCCGTTCTGATCCTCCCAAACCTAGAGGGCTCCTCTGCTTCCGGCGCCCCAGCCCCTTGGCCCTGTCCTCCCGCCCCACCCCACCCCCAGTGGTCTGACTGGTTCCCAACAAAAACACCCTAAGAATGAGCTCACGGAGAGGCCGCCGCCTCCACACGCCCCGCCCCAAGCGCCCAGCAGAGGCGGGGGCCTCGAGTCCAGGTCACACGGCCGGGAGGTGTTCTGGGCCCGGGGATCTGGGGCCCTTGGGGTGGACGGGGCTGGCCAGGTGAGCTGAGGGCAGGTGAGAGGCCACGAGACCACTGTTTGCCCTCTTTGGGTTAGTTATACGTGGGGTTTTGGACTTGCCCTCGGGGCAGGGCCCGGGGCTGAGGACAGGCAGAGCTAGACTAGGATGTTTCCAGTTGCCGGCTGGCTGGGATGGGTGTGGGACAGGGAGCCGGCCAGAATGAGGAGGGCACGGGCACAGAGGGCCGGCCGGGATGGCTGGACAGGGAGATAGTCGGGAAGGGTCCTGCTGGGCCGGAATGGCGTACAGGCTGATGATTCCCCAATCCCCGCCGCCCCGCCCCCCCGCCAGGAGCAGCAATGTCGGTGCAGGTGGCAGCCCCTGGAAGCGCGGGGCTGGGCCCAGAGCGCCTGAGCCCCGAGGAGCTGGTGCGGCAGACCCGACAGGTGGTGCAGGGGTTGGAGGCCCTGCGGGCCGAGCACCATGGCCTGGCCAGGCACCTGGCTGAGGCCCTGGCGGGACAGGGCCTGGTGGCCGGCTTGGAGCTGCTGGAAGAAAAGCAGCAGGTGGTGAGCCACGCGCTGGAGGCCATCGAGCTGGGACTGGGTGAGGCCCAGGTATGAGGGGACCAGCTCTCCAGCTATGGGGGTGAGGCTCAGAGCGGGGAGGAGGCCTGGGGATGAGGGAGACAGGTATGCGGTGGGGGTGGGGGGCAAGGCTGGAGTAGGGGAGGCCTAGGGGAGCCAGGCCTGGGGAGGAGAGGCGCTAGGCCGGAAACGGGATTCCTGGGCAGCATTAGGGGGTCCTTGTGTGGTGCAGGGGCCCCTGAACCAAATGGCATCCATCTCTAGAACTCTGGGTCCTGGGGAGACTTTGGGGTCACATGGGTAGAATATGAAGTGTCCCTGCATGTGATTTGTGTGCCTGGGTGAGATCAGAAGGGTCCCCGGACAGGATCTGGGTATGGCCCTGGGAGCCCCTGCACAACCTTGGAGTACCACGGAAGCGTCTCTGTGGAATCCGGGGGAACCTGGGCGGAGGGGGGTGCTCGGGGTCGGGCCCCTGATCCCCTGGCCCGCGCAGGTGCTGCTGGCCCTGTCGGCGCACGTGGGCTCGCTGGAGGCCGAGAAGCAGCGGCTGCGAGCACAGGCCCGGCGGCTGGCCCAGGAGAACTCGTGGCTGCGGGAGGAGCTGGAGGAGACGCAGCGGCGGCTCCGGGCCAGTGAGGAGGCCGTGGCCCAACTGGAGGAGGAGAAGAGCCACCTGGAGTTCCTGGGGCAGCTGCGGCAGTATGACCTGCCCGCAGAGACCCAGGTGCTGCTGGGCCGGGCACTGGGCCCCCCATCCTCCTTAGACACCCCACAGACCTGTACCCCCCCAGAAGTGCCCCCCCCCGTGCCCTAGACCCTCCCTCCAAAGCTCTGGACCCTTGACAGAGTTCCACAACCTCCAGACCCACTAGAATTTCCACAGAAGCCCCCCTGGCTTCCACAAAGCCCCCAGATCCTCCCCAAGCCCTTAGGAGCCCCCTACCCCGAGGCTCCTAACCACTGCCTCCCTCAAACCCTGAGATCCAGGACCCCGGTCTCTAAAGCAAACTCCCAGCTCTCTTGACCCCCCACTTTCCTGCCCTCTGCAGCGGCCTGAATCCCCCCCTCGCCGAGACAGCCTGGCCTCCCTGTTCCCCAGTGAGGAGGAAGAGAGGAAAGGTGGGTGTGGGGGAGCCTGCAGTTGTGGGGCTGCTCAGCCCTGGAGGACGAGAGGCTGGGGCTGGGGAGGGACCGTGAGACCCCGAGGTGGGTGTCCGCACAGGGGAGCAGGAGCATGAGGCCAAGGGGCTGGGTCAGGGCGGGGGACGGCCGAGGCTGGAAGCCATGAAACCAGGCATGGTGGCTGCCGCGCCGCCGGCCAGGCACACCCCGTGTTCAGGTCCCATGCACCAGCTAGACGCCTGCAATCCCGATCTCAGAGGCCCGGTGCAGGGCCCATTGTCCCAGGGGCCAGTGGGGCAGCTATAGTCCTGGGGGAGGTGTCCCCTTTTACGGGGTGGGAAGGCTAGGAGGCCGGCAGCGCCCTGATGCCCGGCTGCCGCCCGCAGGCCCCGAGGCAGTGGGAGCTGCCGCGGCTCAGCAGGGGGGCTACGAGATCCCGGCCCGCCTTCGGACCCTGCACAACCTTGTGATCCAGTACGCGGGCCAGGGCCGCTACGAGGTTGCCGTACCGCTGTGCCGTCAGGCCCTGGAGGACCTGGAGCGGAGCTCAGGCCACTGCCACCCCGACGTGGCCACCATGCTCAACATCCTGGCGCTGGTGTACCGGTGAGGCCGCAGCCGGCCCTGGACCCGTGGTTGGGGGCGGGGGAGCTGGCGTCCTGCTCTGCCAGCATGGGGCACCTGGATGGGTGGGGGCGGGGGGGATGTCCACGGGGACCTGGGGAAGCCACTGTGACCCAGGCAAGGAGTCGTCAGAGAACGTGGGCAAGAGACCCCAACAGACCAGGGAAGAGACCTGGGGGGGGGGGCGGAGGCTTGCCAGCAAAGGGAGCCTGTGCTTGACTTGGAAGGTAGTAGGAGACACCCACAAGGGACCACGGAAGGGTGACACCCCAGCATGGCTGACCCCCCCCTCCGTCCCTGGGCCACCTCACAGAGACCAGAACAAGTACAAGGAGGCCACAGACCTTCTCCACGATGCCCTGCAGATCCGGGAGCAGACGCTAGGCCCTGAGCACCCTGCGGTGAGTGGGGGCCCAGGAGTGAGGGCTGTGGGGCCCTGCCTGCCCCCCCCGCCTCCCCTACCCTGCAGGTGGCCGCCACCCTCAACAACCTGGCGGTGCTCTATGGGAAGCGGGGGCGGTACCGGGAGGCAGAGCCCCTGTGCCAGCGAGCCCTGGAGATCCGGGAGAAGGTACTGCCCCCGCTGCCCCACCCCTGCGGAGTTCCTGGTCCACAGCCCCTTCCCACTTGATCCTGATGCGCTCAGTTCAGTGGCTCGTGCCTTGTAACCCTGATCCTATGACGTCCTTCCCATCTGCTCTTGTGAGCCCCCAGTTTGAGCCTAGATAACTCAATCTCATGACCCCACTATGCTTGACCTTTAATGAACTCCATCTGATCTTGACTCTAATCGTCCTTCTACATCACCTCATATGCCTCCCAGCCCAGTCCTGACCTTCCAATCCCATATGACCACCTTGACCTGATTAATCCTATTTGTGTAACTAACTTCTACTCTCTGGTCCACAACCTCATGTAACTCCCCATTGATCCCGTGAACCTTTCCTCATGACCCCGCCCCCCAACCCCTAGCAGCTACCAGTATCACATGGCTCACCCACGCCCCCAACCCCTAGGTCCTGGGCAGTGACCACCCGGACGTGGCCAAACAGCTCAACAACCTGGCCTTGCTCTGCCAGAACCAGGGAAAGTTTGAGGAGGTGGAGCAGCACTATGCCCGAGCCCTGAGCATTTATGAGGCCCTGGGAGGGCCCAACGACCCAAACGTGGCCAAGACCAAGAACAACCTGGTGAGGGCGCTGCAGGGCACAGGTACAACTCGACCCTGGGGCCAAGCGCCAGAGGTTCCCCAGGACACACACCCACTGGCTCAAATGCGCCCCTGGAGCAGGGGCCCTCTAAGACTTGGCCTCTGAGCTGGGCCCGGACTCGTGAGATCACTAGGCATAGAGGACACGGAAGCCACAGGAACCACGCAAGTTGGTGGGGCCAGATGACAAATGTTTATTGAGCTCTAGACCCCCTTCTTAGTCCTTAAGGGAAAGGACCATCCGTGTCTCAAAGGACCCTAGGAGCTAGGTACTCCTTTCGTCCCATTTTGCAAACAAGGGAACTGAGGCACAAAGGCAGTGTCACTAGCCCAGGGTGGAGCAGGAACGTCACCTGCCCTAGGTCACGAGGTTGTGGGGGGAGGGGAAGATGCGCCGGGGGAGCTCCAGATCTGAGCCACGATCACCCACCCTCCCCGCAGGCCTCGGCCTACCTGAAACAGAACAAGTACCAGCAAGCAGAAGAGCTGTACCGAGAGATCCTGAGCCGCGAGGACCTGCCTGCCCCTCTGGGTGAGCCCCCAGCCCCGCCCTTGCCCACAGGTGACTGCTCCGTGTCCCCACTGCACTGTCCCCCCTCTGTTCCTAGGAGCCCCCAACCCAGGCACAGCTGGTGATGCAGAACAGGTGAGGAGGGGGAAATGGCTTCGCTCCGGCTCCTAGGGTGGGGACCAGAGGAGAAGGGGGGGGGGAACTGACTGGTGTCCTGGGCGCCCTCCCCAGACCCTTCGTCGGAGCAGCTCCTTCTCCAAGATCCGGGAATCGCTAAGGCGTGGAAGTGAGAAGCTGGTGTCTCGTCTCCGAGGCGAGGGGGTGGCAGGCGCAGCCGGGTGAGTGTCCGATCCAGGCAGGCAAGAGCCCCACCGCTGCAGCTTCTGTAACCCACCCTGTCCCTGTCCTATTCTAGAACCTTCCACGGTTCCCCTCTCCTCTGCCACCCGTACAGTCACATCCGGTGCCAGGCAGGTCTATGCCCAGAGTGGGAAGCAGACACTCGGGGGACTCACCCTGCCACCCTCTTTTTACAGGATGAAGAGAGCCCTGTCACTCAACATGCTGGATGTGGATGCTCCAAAGGCTGCTGGGCCCCAGGTGAGAGGGGCTGAGGGGCACGCTGGCAGGCCCTGAGGCAAGGGAGGGGTGGGAACGGACCCAAGAACAGAAGGCCGGGGGAGGGACAAGCCAGTAGCGAGGATGCTGGTGGGTGGCCCTCGGGGTCGGGTCCTGCCCCTTGCCCACCCCTCCCCTGCGCCTGTCCGCAGTTCCCCAATCAGCACCCGAGCGAGGCCTCGCGGACCCTCAGCACCAGCACCCAGGACCTGGGCCCCCGCTGAAGGTGACAGGACCATGTGGCTGCAGCTTCTCAGGAAGAATGGGGAAGGGGTGGCCTTTCATCTCCCCGAGTTGCTCCCCACCTTTTGGGGGCGCCTACGGTATGGGGCTCCCCGTTCTCCTCCAATTAAAGGCTGTAGATCTGGAAGCCAGGAATGTCTGCCTGAGGTTTCCTGTAAGGACCTGAGGCCACCTCCCAGCCGCTGGGCCCCAGGGCCAGGTGAGACCCCGGAATTGCCGCACTGCTACAGCTGCTGAGCAATCTGCTCTATCCTTCGCAGGGTCTCCTCGGATTCCAGCTGCTCCCGGCTGAGCAGGGACAGGCCCAGCTGGTCCTCCTGGAGGGGGGAGGAGTCAGCTCCAGGGTGGGCCAGACGGCCGTAGCGCCTTCCCACAGGCCCCCCTGGGACACCAGGGGCCAAGGGGCAGGATGTTTGAAACACCCCTCTAATGGGGAACAGCCCCTGGAAGCAGAAGCCAGGCCTGGGGGAGGGAGAGGGAAGCCAGCTGGTTTCCCAGATGGAGAACGATGGGCTCTGGCCACACCCCCAGCCCTGGCCTGTGGGCACACACACAGACCTCTTTGTTGAGGGCAGGCCAGGCCCCCTCCAGCTCACCCGGTGGAATGGCTGAGCCATCTGCCTCAGGAAGTACTTGGCAACCTGGACCCCCTCATCCACGGTCAGGTTGAGGTTGGCGTCAGTGAGGTGCTCCTGGATCCAGCGAGGCAGTTTCCCACGCTTGTCTGCCCGGGCAAACCTCTTTCAGCAGGAGGGTGAGGGAGGGAAGACATCAGGCCCCCAGTGGGGGGGAGCCCGGGCCTCCTTCCCCATCCGGAAAAGGGGGACAGCCTGGTAGGCAGAGGCCCCTGCACCCGCACCTTATCGGCAAAGACCATGAGGCCGTAGTCCGTCTTGCCCCGGATGGCCCGGCCCACACACTGGGCCGCGTGGCGCATGGCATCGAAGGTGAGAAAGTCATTCTCTCGGATCTGGAACTGGTCCCGCAGGTACTCCAGCCGTGCCTGCCCGAGAGAAGAGAGCAGAGCGGTCCCTCCTGCCCCTCCCGCACGCCACCCCAGGCCCAGTCCCTCTGGCCCCCGGGGCTGTTCACCTTGAGGATGCGGCTCTGCGTGTAGACGTAGGGGACGCCAAACATGATGACTGCGCGCCCGTAATGGTGCACTGGGGGAGCAAGCACAGGAGGGGGGCCGGAGGAAGGGAGAGGTCCCTGTGTGAGCCCAGGCTGTGGGGGGGGAGGGGTCCCCTGGGGGAAACAGCCAGAGCCCCATGCAGGCACCTGGGGACAGGGAGAGCCTGGCCCACTCACCAAAGTCGATTCCCTCGGACACTTTTCCCCGGGCCACGGACAGCAGGATGGCTCCACGGCCATTCTCACAGGCCTGGGGAGGGCAGGCCAAGACAGGAGCTAGGTTCCCCCAGAGCTGCCTCCTCTGGGCCCCCTGTGTGCAGTCTACTGGCCCTCCCCCTACCCCCCCCATCCCCATGCCCACCTCCTGGTACTTCTCCAGGGCGACGCTGGTCTCGGCCCCATCTTGCGTCTCAATGAAGAGCAGCTTATTCCTCTGGATGTTTTCAAGAATGCCCTAGGGAAGGACAGCAGGCAGGTCAGGCTGTGGGTTGGCAGAAAGCGGCATAAGGGCACAGGCATCCTGGCTCCGATCAACTCTGCCCCGATTCCTGTGCAGCCACCCCCTTCTGTCCCAGGGTCCCAGCAGCCAGCAGAGCCAGCAGACGGGGGGGTGGGGGGTGCGGGCTGGTATTCATGGAGGAAAGCTGTGATTCCAGGCATGGAACCCATCCCCGCACCCCATCTTTCAGGCAAGTGGGGTAGGCATATGGCCCAAGATGACCCATGGGGACACTCCGCCCCCCCAGCTGGTGCTTAGTGGAGGGGCTGATGTAGGCCAGGCTGAGGCTGCCCAGAGATTTCCGTGACACTGCACTAGCTTTGTGATAGTGACCAAGGAGAGACGCAGGGACAGACCGGTGTGACAGAATGGAGGATCCAGAAACACACCCTCACACCGATGGCTCACCCATACCATTCAGGGGGGACAGTGCTTTCCAGTGAATGGGGCTGCAGCAACTGGAGTTCCACAGGGGGAGACAAAGAACCTCGACCCTGACCTTACACCACACACAAAGATGTGAGGTACCTCACAGACCAGATGTGAAAGCTAACACGAGGCTTCTAGAAGAAACACAGGAGGTGATCTTCAGGACCTTGGGGCAGGCAAAGCTTCCTTAAATAGGACATACAAGACTCAGGATGTGGACTTGGGTGGCCAGCAGCCATCTTTCCCACGGTGTGGAAAGCGCCCATCTGACAAGACCAAGGTCTTGACCAAGTGGACAAGGCTCCCCCACCCCGCTCCCTGGAGTGTGGATCAGCCAAGTTCTCTCATCTCACCCTAAAGAAAAGCCTGCTCTCACTACCCGAGAGCTGGGCCATGATGCACGAGAAGCGGAGAGGTCACAGCGGCCCCCTCCCACCCCCATCCTGCCGGCCCCGCAGGGCCTGGGTGCGGTGAGCCCCATTTCCAGAACACTGTGACCTCACCCCTGCTCTTGAGTTTTTAATCTGGATGTGGGGGCAAGGCAGGGGGGACTACAGTATACACCGTTTGTTCTGTGAACTGTTTGTGTTTTATACACTGTCCTGTCACCTATGATACACGTCACCGCTTAGATCACGAGACAAACGAAGCCAACACACAAAGGAAGAGCCAGGGGCTGAAAAGAGTGGAGCCTCCCCGGGGAGCGGGCGGCTGGGCGTACCTGCTCGTACCAGGAGGCCACGGTGCTCTCCATGTACTGGTAGCTAGTGAAGAAAGCCACAATGCCATCAGGGACCACGGCGGACATCTCCAGCAGGAGGTTCCCATAGTTCCGGATCACCGCTGGCGGGGGGCGGGGGGGGGCGGTCAGAGGTTGTGCGCAGGTCCCGCTCCCCACTCCATCGGGACTTTCCTATCTAATGCCCTGTCTTGAACTCGGGGTTCCTAGAAATCCCCGAGGCCACCTAGAGAGCTGTTCACACACATTCCACTTCTCTTTCCAGGCCCCTGGGAGAACGGCACCCACCCCTGCCCGGGGAGTTAGGTGTGACCATGTGACTTGCCCTGGCCAATGAGTGAAGTGGCCGTGGGTCACTTCCGGGTGAACACCTTTATGAGGCACAGCACCATTACCAGGATCCTTCCCGCCACCCCTTACCCCCATAGTGACGCATCCAGTGGGGAAGGTCCCCAGGGGGAGGAGACATGGGGCAAGCCCCCACCAACCCACAGTGGCACATACTGTGAGCAAGAAGTAACCTCTGTGTAACCCCACTTTGACTTGGGGTTCTGTGTCAGCTTGCTGCAGCCTGACCTAGCCCACTGATCCACCTGCCCTCTCAGAACCCATGCAAGCCACCCCGACGTGCAGCCTACCAATATCTTCCCGGGTCTCAAACTTGGAGCTGATGGCCACCTGGTCGTTGCCACGACCAATGATCTGCAGAGAGCAAGAGACGTCACGCTAAGCAAACAGCAGCACTCACTGCTGGTGCCGGGCTCAGCTTTTTACAGACACGATGTCACGGAGTGAACCCTCGGCTCCCCTGTTATCTGCACCGCATGGATGAACCACCTCCGGCCCGGAGAAGGTGAGCTGCCTGCCCCAGGGCATGTGGCAAATCCACGGCGGCGGCAGGACTGAACCCGAGTCTGTCCACACTGCTGACCAGCAAGTACGTGCTACCGGCCCCAGCCTCCGGGCCAGGCAGTTCCCAGAGAAAGTGTCTCACCACAACCTCAGCAGCCACCAGCTACGGGTGCACCCCCCTCCCCCACCAGCAACTCCACAAACCACGATGTAGGACGTGGCCGTCATCAGTCCACAACCCGTGAAGGGCAATTCCAAAAACCAAGAAACTCCAGATATTTAACTTTGGCGCCAACTCCTGTAGTAGCAAAACCTGCCCTCACCTGAGTCTATCCGGAGTCCTGACTTACCCGCCTTAGTCTGAAGTCTCAAAACATGTTCCTGCTGAACTAGGACTTTCACTGGCCTCCCGCCACTGGCCTCCCCAACCCCGCTGGGAATGTCACATACCACATAGCATGTGCTTTGTTTTTTAAAGTCTGGAAAATTCTCAATTCTAAAATACACCTGGCCCAAGGGATTCAGAAAAGGGACGGAGGGCCCACGTTATGATGCCTATTTTACGAAGGAGACTGAGGCAGAGCAAAAGGGTCATCATCAAGGTCACGGCCAGAGGACAAACTAGGCAGAGCCCCCGTTAACAAAGATGTTGACTGAGTGCTGAACGGCACCAGGCCCTGGGCCACATAGCGTTTTATATCCGCTATCTCACTAACCCCTCAACCAACCTGGGAGGTCAGGGAAGATGCATTCCCATTTTACAGATTAGAAACTGAGGCTTGGGGAGTCACACCCACAGGGAGAAGTAGCATCAAGCCCAGATCTGTCTGAATCCAGAGTCTGTGTCCTCAGCTGTAAAACTCTCCTGCCTCAACAGCAGGGTGGGGGGACAGAGGGAGGAAAGGCGGCCCACCTCCCCTGGCCCAGCATCCACCCTCTCCCACGCACCATGGGGCAGAGGCAGACCCGGGCCAGCGTCATGGTGAAGGTTGCCATGGTGACAGGGTGGAAGTCCAGAATCTTGGGGTAGATGTCCAGTGGGGACAGCGTCTGTAGCAGGGACAGCAGGAGGGATCTTAGCAGAACTGGGCAGAAACCAGGAGCCCCACGGTGGAGGGCTGGGCACTGGAGGTAGAGAAGGGTCCTCACCCCAGATGTGATGATGACAGACTGGAAGCGCTCGAACACAGGTTTGATGGCCAGTGAGGCGTCCATGCAGCTGTAGGAAGCAGACAAGGGTGGTGAGGACCACGCCGGGGCCCGCGTGGTCCGTTCACACCCCCAACACTGGGGTCGGGTCTCACCTGAAGTGCAGGATGGGGTTGGCAATGGTGGGGGTCCTGTCATCAAAGGGCTCGATGATGATGGTGAAACCTACAAGCGGGTGAGATTCCTGGTCAGCAGTCGTTGCCACGCCCACCCGGCCACTCTCTCCTGCCCCATTAGTGACTGGTGGGCCACAGTTCTCAAGCTTAAAACCCAGGCATCGGGAGTTCAAAGTACACCCCAACTGCCCGCTTCTCCCAGGGCTGACACCCACTCAGGGAGCATCATGAGCAGAGAGCACCAAAGGGTCACTCCTCAGACTCTCCCACACTGCAACTCAAGCCCAAGCCTGGAGCCTTCCCCCCATGATCCTTGTATCTAAACCATTAGGCGGGTCAGCTCTGCTTCCAAAGCCTATCTGCAATCTGACCACTCTCCCCACCCCCTCCCCCACTATCAACTCTAGCCTGGACTATTGCAGTCACCTCCCTGGGCTTCCAGCTCCCACCCCTGCTCCCTTCCCAGCAGCCAGAGAAACCCTGTGAAATCCTGAGTCAGGTCACATCCCTGCCCTGCTCAGAAGCCCTGCACAGCTCCCTAGGCCCCTTCCAGAGTCCAAAATTATCTGTGAGACCCTGCCACACTGACCCCATTTCCTCCTGGCTCACAGGCCACCTCCTGCCTAACTTTCAAAAACCACCAGGCTCACGCCACCCCAGGGCCTTTGCACTTGCTGGCCCCACAGCCTGAAAAGTTTTCCCAGGCAGCTGGTTCCATCTGGTCATTATGGAACTCAGCTCAAATGTCAGCGCCTCAGGCCTTCCTTGGCCACTGCAGGCATGTTCCAACATGGCAACATTTTTGTTTCTTGTGAAAACTATCCCTTTCTGGAATTATTTTATTTGTTTGAGTCTTTGCTACCTGTCTTCCTCTCTGCAATATAAGTTCCAGATCAGAAATAAGGTCCTTCTGTGTTCCTGTCACTTCCTCAGTGTTAGGCCTGGCCCATTTTTTGAAAAAACAGGTGAATGAATGAATTCACATATTCAGTTTCACTTAATTAAAAAGAAAAAGAAAAAGAAAAAGAAAAAAAAAAAAAAAAAAAGTCCTCTGTGCCCAACCCTGTACTAGGGCAACAGTGGGAACCAAGACAGTTCCGGCCCTCCCCTCTCAGGGCTCACAGTCTGATGATGGGGACACAGTCCTGTCCCCAGAGAGTGACCACTCAAAGTAGACAGGGCTGGGACAGGGGAGCCAAGAGGAGGGGAGCTTGACCCAGCCTAGGGGTCAGGGAGGGCTTCCTGGAAGAGCGGACATCTCTAACGAGGCAAGAACCGAAAAAGAGTAGGAGGTAAGTAGTTGGGGCCTGAGGAATATTGGGACAGATGTTCCAGGTAAAAGAGTGTGAAGTGTTAGTGGATGGGGAAGTGGGGAGGAGAAGAGAAAGCCAGTCCCAGAAGGAAGATGGGGTGGGACAGGGGGATGGACACAGAAGGAAGCTTCTCGTGGGGCTCGCTGCTACCAGGTGCTGGGGTTGGGGGACAGCCTCTCCATCCTCCGGGCTGGTGCAGGGTGTCAGGAGGCCTGACCTGGCTTCCGGGATAGAGCAGTAATCGCCAGGGATCAGACTGAGCCCTTGGCCAGCTTAACGCTGAGGCAGGGGAGGGAGTGCTGACCAGTGAAACCTCAGGACCACTTCCCCTCTTCCTGGCACGCTGGGTACCTGAGCACGGCACTCAGCTCCCTGCCCCCGACCCCAGGCACCGGGTCCCACCTCTCTCTCCAGCCACTCTCCTCCTCCCATCCTGCCCCAGATCCCGGCCCCTCCCTTGCTCAGAACCTCCCATGGCTCCCCCCTTCCCAGGAGTAAAAGGGCCAACTCCTTACCACACCCTACAGGGAGAGTGACCCCCCGCCAGAGCTTCTCTGGCCTCACCCCCCGTCCCACTCCACTCTGCAGCCAGAGGGAGCCTCTGAAAATATTAAGCTGAGCACGAGGCTCGGCTAACTCAAGACCTATCTGCGGAACCTCCCTGCACTTGAAACAAAGCCCAAACTCCCGAGCCCAGCCCTACAAGGTCCTGAATGTCCCAGTACCACAGACAAGCCTCTGGACTCCGCTAGGATCCTGATTCTGGCCGCTGGGGCGGTGGGGGGGGGGGTGCTTGCCGAGGCAGGAGAAGATGAGCTTACCCTTGGCGTAGGTGCTGACGAGAGTGGCGAAGTTAGCCAGGAGGGTGAGGGGAGAGAAGTCGGCAAGGTCAGCGATCTCCAGGGTGTGCAGCAGGGAGCGGAGACGCTCGGCACAGAATCTGGTGCAGAGGCCAGGCGGGGTCAGGGGGGCGGCGGAGCGCCAACGGGACAGTGACCCCCCTCCGCCACCGTCAGCATGCACACATGCTTTCCCAGGTGACTGGGTGCTCGGTGGGGACAGACTGGGGCTGTTTCAGCCACCCGTGACTCCACACTCTACAACTGCACACACCGACCAGCGATCAGACGCTCTAGTCACATGGTCACACAATCTCATGCAGGTCCTTGATCAAAGAGCACAGAGCAGGCGCTCAGGGAACATGACTGGCTAGGATCCTATCTTTGCCCTCACGAGTCCCTCACGAAGAAGGACAAACGACACCATCCCGAGGGCCACCCTACCCCGAGAGGCAAGGCAGCCAGGGCCTTCGGAGCCCTACAGGCCTGGCTTCACACGACTCCCCCCACGAGGTGCTGTGTGACCCTGGGCGATGGCTTGCCATCTCTAGGCCACACTGTCCTCATCTGCGGCCAGGGACGCCGTACTGAGACTCCACAAGATGCAGAAAGTCAAGTGCTTAGCTCATCGTTGGTGCTCAAGACAGGGTGAGTTACTTCTACCACTACTTTCTCATTTAACCACCACAGAAACCGGAGTAAAGGTGATGACCCCCTACCCATTGAACAGAGGAGGAAACGGAGATTCAGAGAAGACCGTGACTTATCCAAAACAGCAGAGAAACAGTACAGAAGCCCCCCTCCCCCCTCCCAGGTCCACGCTCTGCTTGTCCTGTGCTGGGGGGACTGACCCACCCCACAGTCTGCCTGGTGGGGGCGTTCCTGCCCTCAGACTTCCGGGGGACAAAGAGAAGCACCAACAGGAAGAGACAGGGGTCCAGGGGATCCACAGCATTTCTACCCCCTCCCCAGCTCCCCCCCTGCTGGGTCTTGTCAGGAGCCCCGCTCCAGGACCACTCCCTCCCATGCCACCGTGGCTTGAGGTGGAAATTCCTGAGCTCTTACCAGTGCCCAGGCCCCCTGTGAGACCCTCTGCCCCGCCCACCCGTGTCAGCAGTCCTTCCGTCAAGTGCTCTTCAGGTAAGCCCTCTGAGGAAGCCATGTGTCGTCTGCCAGTTTCCTGCCCAGCACAGGGACCCAGGAACAGCTCGGAGCTGGCCCGCGGGTCGGCCTAGTCTGACAGCGCGCCATCACACACGATCCTCCTACCTGGATCACTGACTCCCGACACTGGCAACGTGGTGGCCCCAGCCACAGAGGCCGAGGTTCAGGGAGGGCCCAGGGTCTGCCCCACGCCCCCGTGGGGACCCGACACCACCCCCCAGCTGTGTGGGGCCTCACCTGAGGGGCTTGCGCTGGATGCACACGCGCTGGGCCAGGCCGCTGAGGAAGGCAGGGGGGCTCTCCTGCACCACGTGCTGGACCCGCAGCCGCCACTTGACGTACTCCAGCAGCCGCCGCAGGAAGCCCAGGAAGTGCTCGGCCGTGCGGATGGAGCCGGGTACAGCCTCTGCGGGAGGAAGGCGTCAGCCACCACGGTAGCGCGGGGAGCGGGACAGGGAGTGGGCGGCGGGGGGACGTGCAGCTCACCCTGTAGCACCTCGTCAGGAAGCACGGGGTTGGCCAGGTGGGCGTCCGTCTCCCGGGCGGCACTGGCCTCCCGCAGCCCCTCCACCAGGCGTCGGTACTCTTCCCGCAGACGCTGCTCATCTGTCTCCTTGATCCTGCGGGGGAGGGGGGGACATGTGGGGGACGGGGGCGTGGGAACGGGGCTGGTGGCCCTGGGGGCAAGCTGGGCAGAAGAGGCGGGGGCCAGACGGCAGGGGCAGGGTGGGCACCAGGTGGCGCAGGACAGAGCCCCCGACCTGAGCACCGTCTTCTGTAAGGTCTCCAGGTTGCCCTGGCAGCGGTCGAGGGTCCGGCGGGTGATATTGACGCTCATGGAGTCGATGCAGACGTTGTCTAGAGAAAACAGGGGAGGAGGCCGGGCTCAGTGGGGCCGCAGGGGCTGCTGGAGCGGCGGCGGAGGGCCCGGATTCCCCGTCCGCCCGGGCTCCCGCCTCACCGATGTTGTGGGCCTCGTCGAAGACCACGACAGCCTTGCGGGCCAGCTCCTTAGACACCAGCTCTGCAATCTTGGGGTCCAAGAGGTAGTGGTAGCTGTAAACCACCACGTTGGCATGCAGGATCTAGGGACCGAGGAGGGCAGGGTCAGCCCAGCCTACCCGAGCACGCCCTGCCCTGCCACCCCCCACGCTGCACCCCACCGCGTCCACCCTCCCAGACCCACAGAGGGGAGGCGAGGCGAGACAGACACGGGCAAGGGACAGACAGAAGCTAACGGACAGAAACAGACAAACGCACAGGCAGGCGGGCTGTAGGCCGGCCCCCAGCAGCCTCCTCACCGAATAGCGGGCGAGGAAGTAGGGGCACCAGCCCTGGCGCCGTCCCAGGGCCTTGAGGTCATCCAGGTTGTAGATGCCAGCAGAGAGGGGCACCTGGCGCCCATGGACATCAAACTCCTGGGGTGAGAGGGTGCCTGTGGGTTAGGGAGGCTGGCTGCTGCAGCCGTCTTGCCCTCCCCCCTCAGCCCCGTTGGCAGGCACCTCGTAGAAGCGGCAGTGGGGCAGGCTGGGGTCCTGCTGGTACTGCGCCCGCACGTACGACGCTGTGAGGCTGTGGCATCTCCCGTCGACGTCTTTCCCAAAGCGCAGGGGCATCACCTGGGGGTGGGGGGCAGCTTAGTGCCAAGCAGCTCAACCATTCCTCCAACGCGGGGCTCTACCCCTGCCAGCTAGGTGGGGTAGGGGGCTGTCCTGTTCCGTCTGGGGAGAGAATGGAATTCTGGGGGAAACTTAAACCTCAACTGTTTCATTATTAAACAGTTAAGACATCTGAAAACTTAACCACGGTGGGGGGGGCGGTGTAAGAGCAGTGCGACTGTTAGGCTCTTACAGTGATCTTGGGGTGATGAGTTCGAGCCCCATGTCAGGTACAGAAATTATTTAAGAAATAAAATCTTGGGGCACCTGGGTGGCTCAGTTGTTAAGCGACTGCCTTCGGCTCAGGTCACGATCCCAGGGTCCTGGGATCGAGCCCCCGCATCGGGGTCCCTGCTCGGCGGGAAGCCTGCTTCTCCCTCTCCCACTCCCCCTGCTTGTGTTCCCTCTCTCGCTGTATCGCTCTCTGTCAAATAAATAAAATCTTTAAAAATAAATAAATAAAAGTAAAAAAATCTTAAATAAAGGAAAAAAAAGAAGGGGATGCCTGGGTGGCTCAGTCGTTAAGTGTCTGCCTTCGGCTCAGGTCATGATCCCAGAGTGCTGGGATCAAGTCCCGCGACCGGCTCCCTGCTCAGCGGGGAGCCTGCTTCTCCCTCTGCCTGCTTCTCCCCCTGCTTGTGCTCTCCCTGTCAAATAAATAAAATCTTAAAAAAAAAAAAAAAAAAAAGATACAAAGAACAAATTCATGGTTGCCAGAGGTGAGTGGGTAAGAGTGAAGGTGCTCAAAAGGTGCAAACTTCCAGTTAGAAAATAAGTCCTAGGAATGTAACGTACAGCATGGAAACTCTAGTTCAAAATACCATATTGCACATTTGCAAGCTCCTAACAGAGATCTTAAAAGTTCTCATTACAAGAAAAAAATTGTAACTATGTAAAGTGACTGCTATTAACTAGACTTACCATGGTGATCATTTTGCAATATATACAAAAACTGAATCATTACACTGTACACCTGAAACTAGCGTTATATGTCAATTTTACCTCGATTTAAAAAAACAAAAAACAAAACCAAGTCTTGAACAATCTTCAGCATGTAGATTAAGAATAACTGCTTTATCTTTGCAAACACTAAAACACCCAGAATCTAAGCCAGGCTAATAATCAGGGGAGGTTCTTTTTTTTTTTTTTAATAAATCTATTTTTTTATTCATGAAAGGGAGAGAGAAAGCGCACACAAGCGGGGGGAGGGGCAGAGGGAGAGGGAGAAGTAGACTCCCCGCTGAGCAGGGAGCCTGAGGTGGGGCTCGATCCCAGGACCCCGTGATCATGACCTGAGCAGAAGGCAGACACTTAACGGACTAAGCTCCCCAGGCGCCCCCAGGAGGTTCTGATGGTACAGTTTGAGACGCTGCCTTGCCCTGCACCTTCTGTGGGTGGCACCATCGCACCCCAGGGCTGCCCTTTTCCACAACAAAATTTTTTAAGATTTTTTTATTTGAGAGTGAGAGAGAGAGAGAGAGAGAGAGAGAGAGAGCGCGCGCGCGCGAGCGCATGAGAGAAGGGAGGGTCAGAGGGAGAAGCAGACTCCCTGCTGAGCAGGGAGCCCGATGCGGGACTCGATCCCGGGACTCCAGGATCATGACCTGAGCCAAAGGCAGTCGCTTAACCAACTGAGCCACCCAGGCACCCCACAACAAAACCTTTGCCTTCACCAAGGGGCAGGCTCGGAGGCTGCTGACCTTTCCCTCTCTCTTCCTGTTTCATCAGTTGCCAAGGCCCATGCTACTTCTAATTATCACCAGTCACATCCATAGTTTCTCATATTCTTACAATTAACATTATATTACATTCCATGACTTACCACATGTAAAGTACTTAGAACACTGTTTAGGGGTGAGTCCAACAGTCTTGTTGTTTTTTCTTTAAAGATTTTATTTATTTGACAGAGAGAGAGAGACAGCGAGAGAGGGAACACAAGCAGGGGGAGAGGGAGAAGCAGGCTCTCCGCCGAGCAGGGAGCCCAATGCGGGGCCCAATCCCAGGACCCTGGGATCATGACCTGAGTAGAAGGCAGACGCTTAACAACTGAGCCACCCAGGCGCCCCAAGTCCAACAGTTTTGTAACATAATTTAATAATATTCTACATGTCATGTTATTATATGTATTAATACCCTGATGATTTCTAATGTTTTAGTATTTTGTACATGCTAAGGGCTGTACACTATGTTATCTCGCCTAATCTTTTTTTAATGATTGAGATGCAATGGACTTATAATACTCTATTAGTTTCAGGAGTACAACATAGTGATTTGATACTTGTAAATACTGCAAAATGACCAGCACAGTAAGTCTAATATCCATCACCACACAGTTACAATTTTTCTTTTCTATTTCCTTTTTTTAAGTAAGCTCTACACCCAACGTGGGGCTTGAACTCATGACCGGGAGATGAAGCATCACATGCTCTACAGACTGAGCCAGCCAGGCGCCCCTCTTAGTGACTTTCAAATAGATAATACAGTATTATTAAGTATAGTCACCACGCTGTACATTACATCCCCGTGACCTATTTGTTTTAACTGAAGTCTGCACATTTTGACCCCCCTTGCCCAATCTGATCAACTGTATGAAGCCAATACTTAATTACCCTCATTTTACAGAAAGGAAGACTTAAGCCCCACTGTAAAAATCAGCTATCAAAGAACACATGACTATTAAGTTTCAAAGCCAGGAAACCTGACCTGCCAGACTCCAGGAACTGCCTTTTAACCTCTCAGGCTGGGGAGAAGGTGTGTTTGGACCGCCTCATCAGAAGTCAGAATTTGATGCGTGAGAAGTCTGCGAGTGGTCCCTGCCTGTCTCCCTGAGAGGTCTGGTTTGGGGATCTAGGACTGGTTGGATGAAAGTTTCCCCAACCCTAAAGCTTGGGGCAAGGGGAGAAATGGGCACGCACCTCAGGATGAATACACAGGTTCTTCCGGGAGCTCAGAGCCAGCCCCAAAAACGGTAGCTTCTCACCCTCCTGCTTCTCATAGAAGTTGAGCAACTTTCGCAGCTCTTCAATCACCTGTTCTCGTCGAGGACGGAGGGGACTCCAGCATGAGACCCTGCCCAGCCTGGCCCAGCCCCTTCTCCAGCTTCCCCAACAGCCCCCAAAGCTATGAGGGCAACCACCAGGGGGACCAACAAGTCCTGCGGGACTGGGGGAGCCCCAGGATTGGCCCCGGCTCACCTTCTCAATCTCAGGCACAGTCCTTGAGCAGTAGATGAGTTTAGTCACTTCTAGTGGATACGCCTGCCGGGGATAATGGGCTCAGCCCCCGTTGGACCCCTTCCCTCTACCCGCCTCCCCGGGCCCAGGGGTCACTTACCCTCTGGTATGCCATGATCAGGGCCAACAGGGACACTGTCTTCCCAGTGCCTGAGGGCATCTCTAGGACTCCATGACCCTGCATGTTGAGATGAGAGAGACAGAACTTCAGGGACACAAACTCTGGGGACCACTACCATCTTGAAAATACCAGCACAACAGCAGTTAAAAGCCTAGGCTCCAAGGGCAGTGGGTTTGAACCCCACCTTTGCCACCTCTTTGTTGAGCGGTCTTAGGCAAGAGCCTTCACCCATCCAGTCTCAGTATCCTCATCTCTAAAATGGGCCTAGAGGGCGCCTGGCTGGCTCAGTCGGAAGAGCATGTGACTCTTGATCTCAGGATTGTGAGTTCGATCCCCACGTTGGGTGTAGAGATTACGTGTAAAAACAAACAAAAAAACGCACAAACTTTAAAAATAAATAAATAAAATGGGCCTAATAAGCACTTCTTCAGATCATGACTGTGAGGGCTGAGAAAATGGGGGTTAAATATTCAGCATAGTAACTGATATGTAGTGACCTGTTTTTTCTTTTAATTTAGCAAACACTTCCACAGCACTTACTCTGTGCCTAGCACCCCTTCTAAGTGTCTTACTTACATCGGGGTTTCTCAACCTGGGCTCCACTGACATTTGGCGGGGGGGTCTATCCTGTGCACTGCAGGATGTTTAGCAGTGCCCATGGCCTCTACCTACCACTAGCACCCCCACTCCGCTAGTATGACAACCAGGAATGTCTCTGGACACTGCCTCTGGGGGAGGGGGGTCAAAAGCATCCCCACTTAAGAACTGCTGCCCTGGGGCGCCTGGATGGCTCAGTCGTTAAGCGGCTGCCTTCGGCTCAGGTCATGATCTCAGGGTCCTGGGATTGAGCCCCGCATGGGGCTCCCTGCTCCGCGGGAAGCCTGCTTCTCCCTCTCCCACTCCCCCTGCTTGTGTTCCCTCTCTCGCTGTGCCTGTCAAATAAATAAAATCTTAAAGAAAAAAACAAAAAAAACCTGCTGCCTTACTTACCGAATTAACTCCCATAACCTTCACGTGAACCTCTGAGAGTAGGCAATCGTACTAAGCCCATTTTACAGAGGTGAAAACTGTGAAACAGGGAGATTAAGGGATTCGCCCAAAGGCACACAGCTGTGGGTCTAGGATTCCAACCCAGAGAGCCGGCTCCAAAGCCGCACAGCCTTTGATAAACGTTAGGTGCTGCTGTTATGAACTTTTTTTTAAAGATTTTATTTATTTATTTGACAGAGAGAGAGAGAGAGACAGCAGAGCAGGAACACAAGCAGGGGAGAGGGTCAGAGGGAGAAGCAGGCTTCCCGCCAAGCAGGGAGCCGGATGTAGGACCTGATCCCAGGACCCTGGGATCATGACCTGAGCCGAAGGCAGACGCTTAACGACTGAGCCACCCAGGTGCCCCTGAACTATTCTTTCAGGTAACAGGTTTGGGAGCGCCGGCTTCCCAAGGACCTCACATGCCTAACACCTCGAGGTCCAGCAATCTCCGTTCTTAGACGCGCTGGCCGCTGTGCACCTTGAGGCGGGAAGCGGCGGGCCGGGCCCACCTACCTTGGCGTCCAGCGTGCGCTTGAGCTCCAGCATGTACGAGAACTGCTCGGGGTAGATGTAGTCGTAAGGGAAGTAGACCAGCAGCCCGTCCACGTTGAGCCTGGCGGCAGGGGGCGGCCGGGTCAGTCCCCCGCCCCCGCAGCCCCTCTCCAGCCCCCACACTCTCCTGCCGTCCGGCCGAGAGGGGTTACCTGCCGGCGCCGACCCCACCGCCCCCGGGCGTCCCCCAGTTCCCCGGGAGCCTCGGCTCCCTTCGGCATCTCTTCGCTGACCATTCCCGTTACCGCCCCGCGGGTGTCCGCGGCTCTCCTCACCCCACTCCCCCAGCACCCCCTAGCCGCGCCGGGGCCCCGGGCGCGCCCACTTGGCCCCCCATATTTCAGACCCCACCCCCACCCCCAAGCCGCCTCGCGAACAGCGAACTCTGGACCCTTCCTCACTTCATGGCGCCTGCCGCGGCGACAAACGCCGTCGGCCCGCCTCCCTCATAAATATTCAGAGCGCAGGATTCGTGGGGAGTCATCGTGGCGCCGCTCCACCTTTCTCACGACTCCATTGGCTGATCCCGCCCGTCACTCTACTGGGGCGGGGGATAATGCGCGTGCGCACGGCAATGCGAGGGCGGGCTCCCGGGAGAGCAGGCGTAGCTGAGGATCGCAGAGTACCGAGAACAGCTTTTGAAGGAAGAGTACCGAGGTAATCGATCCCATTCATTAGGATTTGGTCTTCCTGCATCTGCCCAAGATCATCTAGCAGCGAATAGAGTCTAAAGGAACTGACAAGGAAATTGAGGACCCTTAGGAGCCCACGAGTCAGGAATGGCTTCGTCGCACTAGACTAACGTGCACCTCTAAAACGCCCGCTGTGTCCTAGACTTCTCTGGGATAAATAACTCCTCCCATTTAGAGAACCCCTACTGTTCGCCAGATACTGTCCTCATCAGGCAGTAATGCAAAGGCATTGTGGCTTGGTGGCTAAGGTGTGGACTCTGGAACCAGAATGCCTGGGTCCAAATCCTGGCTCCACTGTCTACCAGCTTTGTGACCTCGGTTAAATTAACTTGTCATCTGCAAAGCAGGCACAATTAGATTATCCATAATGTAGGGGCACCTGGCCGCTCAGACGGTACAGCACCGGACTCTTGATCTCAGAGTCATGAGTTCAAGCCCCACATTACGCGTAGAGCTTACGTTAAAAAAATAAAAAAAGTAACAACAAATATTAAAAAAAAAGATTACGATGTAGATGGTGCTTAAGTTAACCCACATAAAGCATTTAAAACTGGGTTTAGCGCATACTCAGCATTCAGTAGCTAGAGCTTTTATGCAATTGTTCAACAAATAGATTCCTAGGCCCTGGGAACACAAAGGTGACCAAGACAGCCCTTGTTCGTGTCCTCAAAGAACAGATTTTAAACATATATGTAAATATATGGTTACAAGTATGACAAGTGCTGTGATGGGAAAATTCTGAAAACCATAAGGGCTACATACAGGAAACATGCTGTCAACTATGGGGTGTGGAGTGGTCAGAAAAGCCTTCTTTGAGGAAATGAGGTTTGAGTAGACACAGGAAGTATGAGAAGGAACTAACCAGCCAAAGGGGACAGATGAGAGAAGGGGAAAGGGTGTTGATGTTCCAGCCAGAGGGAAGATGGTGTACAAAAGTTCTGCCACCACAAGAAAGCTAATGCCTCAAAGGGCTAAAGGGAAGCCTGCGTGGTGGAAGGACAGAGGCAAGGACAGAGTAGAGAGAATGCAGCTGCAGGGAGAGGCAGGGCCAGGCCAAAAATCCTTAGAGTGGCCTGTGGAACCCTGTCTAACCAGCGTACCCCCTCATCACCCCCACACCAACTCACCTTATCTCTCTGATCCCCTCCTCTGTTGCTTAGCTCATTCTATTTCAACCACATTATCCTCCATGCTGTTTCCAGAACACTCCAGGCACATCCTACCTTAGGGCCTTTGCACCTGCTATGTCCTCTGCCTGGAATGCTCTTTCCCCTGACATCCTCATGGCTGGACTTCATCACATCCTTCGGGCCCTTGCTCCGGTGTCACCTTCTCAGTGGCACCAAATTAAATTCAAGCCCGCCCCCCTCCACACAAACTCATATGCTACCCACTGTAGCTCCCTCCCCTGCTTTGTTCTTCTTCAGAATGCATCTAACCAGGGTGCCTGAGTGGCTCAGATGGTTGAGTGTCTGCCTTCGGCTCAGGTCATGATCCCAGGGTCCTGGGATCGAGTCCCGCGTTGGGCTCCCTGCTCCTTGGGAGCCTGCTTCTCCCTCTGCTTCTCTCTCTCTCTCCCTCTGTCTCTCATGAATAAATAAATTAAAAAAAAAAGAACGCATCTAACCATCTGACATATTAAATATTCGACTTATTTAGTTTAGAAGGTCAGCTCCATAAGGCAGGGATTTTGTCCATTTTACTCACTCCTACATCTGTGGTCCTTGCCATTGTGCTTGGCACACAGTGGGGAATCAATAAATATTTGTTGAAGAAGTGAATGAGCGGGGGCAGGGGGATGGTCAAATTTGCATTCTGAACCCCTAAGTCACTTGGAGCGCCTTGTGACACATGAACCGGACGGACTAAGATTGGCAAGCAGAGCCAGTCTGTGGCTAAGGCCAGGGTAGCGGAGAGAATGATGTCATTGAATCCTCATGACGGTCCTATAAATCACATGCTTTGATTATCCCCATTTTACAGATGAAAGAGCGGCTCAGAGAGGTGAGGTGAGTTGCCCAAAGCCCATTTTATTCCAGTGTCTGTGTGTCTATGTCTGTGTGCATGATAGTTTCTGGAGCTGATCTAGGCAGAGAAGGAGAGTGAGGCTCGAATTCTCTGTTTAGCCAGGATTAGAGAAGGAGCTTCGTTGATACAACCATAGTGCTCAGCGAGAGAGCCAGAAAGCGGGAGGCAGTGGGCCACCTAAGGTTGTGACTTCCTTCATAATTCCCTCTCTTTCTCTCATTTGTTAATTCATTCACTCATCCTGTATTACCTGAGCCCTGTACACATCCTGGGGAGCCAAAGGCACCCAGTGGTCACCGAGACAGCCTCAGCCCTGTCCTCCTGGGGTGCATAGTCCAGTGGAGGAGACAGAACCATCCCGACGGTGATGACCCAAAGTGAGCAGGGCTGGGACAGGTGTGGGATGGGGATAATTGGTGCTTATCTCAACAAATGACATTTATTACACAGTCATACAAATGAGGACATATTTCCAAAGTTAGACAAAGTCTCTAAAAATAGGTCCTAGGGAGCTAGTAAGGACTCACAGTGGTGTGGATGGTGGAGACAGGTGTTGAGCATTAGTGAGGCTGCTGACATGACCCTGAGCCTTAACCAAAGCTGCACACACACACACAGATGCTCCTTGCAGTATGACGTCCAAGGAGAATAAAATGGGGAAAACCTGCACAACGTGATCTCAGACAGGAGTAAATCAGGGTGATGCCTTCCCACTGCTTGCACTCACCGTGCAGCAGCTAACCCCATCTTGCTGCTCACTCCTCTGCTTTTTACTTGTCTCCAGTTGTGTCCTGTCTCTGCAGCGCCATCACCCCCACCTTACCCTGCCTCGCTATTCCTCTCTCCTCCAGGTCTCAGAGACATCCCCTCCTCCAGGAAGCCCTCCCTAAACCCCCCCAGGCTGGGTCAGGCACCTTCTCTGGGCTCCCCCATCCTATCCATGGTTACTTTTTTCAAGCAGGGGGGAAGAGAGGAAGAACATCTTAAAACCAAGAATATAAGAAAATGAAATTGGGTATTGGACTGACGTGAGCCAGTCGCATCGTAGTAAGCGTTCTGCTACCTGCCTGACGTACTTTCTCACTGTTCCCCCTGCCCCCAAGCCGCTCCTCCCAGCCAGAATGGCTTCCTGGCTCTTCCACGCAGGCACCAGACCTGCAGGAGCCGGCTCATCTGTACAACAAATTACCCCCAAGTGTAATGGTGGAGAACAACAGCATTTATTATCTCACGGTTTCTGTAGATCGGCCGCTAAGCTCACCAGGTGGTTGCTGGCAAGATTCTTTTCCTTGCTGGCTGTTGGCCAGGACCACCTGCAGGTCCCTGCCACACAGGCACCTCTGAAGGCAGCCCACTTCATCCAATGGAGAAGCAAGAGGAGCCCAAGAGAGAGGCAAGGAAGATGGAAGTCGCTTTCTTTTTTAATCTGATGTCAGAAGTGAGAGCCTGTCACTTTTTGCTGTATTCCGTTTTCTTAGAAAGCATCCTGGGGCGCCTGGGTGGCTTAGTTGGTTGAGTGTCTGACTCTTGGTTTCAGCTTGGGTCCTGATCTCAGGGTCTCAGGGTCATGGGATGGAGCTTAGCATGGAGTCTGCTTGAGATTCTCTCTCTGCCCCTCTCCCCATTTGTGCTCTCTCTCTCAAAATACATTTTAAAAATCTTAAAACAAAACAAAACAAAAAGAATACATCCCTACATCCAGCCCATGGGCAAGGGGAGGGGTTACTCAAGGGCATAAACACCAGGAGGGAGGGATGATTCAGACCCTTCTCCAGGCCCCTGTGGTCACTGGTCCCTCTCTCTGGAAGGCTTTTTCCCCAGATCTCTGCATGCCTTCTCCCTCACCTCTCTCAAGCCTTCCATAAAGGTCCTTTCCTCAGCAAGACCTTCCTGACTACTCATTTAAATTGCATTACTCCCTGGGTAGGCTGAGAAGTGGTCCCCAAAGATCTCCAGGCCCTGATCTCTGGAACCTGTGGACATTCCTTTGTGTGTCAAAAGAGACTTTGCAGGTGTGATGAAGTCAAGGCGCTTGAGATATCCAGGTGTGCCCTAAGTGTAATCACAGATGTCTTTATAAGGGGGGAGATCCAACGGCGGGACAGAGACAGAGGCACCATAACAGCATCAAGATGCTACATTGCAGGCTCTGAGGATGGAGAAAGGGGGCAGAGCCAAAGAATACAAGGAATACAGCTCTGGAAGCTGAAAAAGGAGAGGAAATGGATTTTCCCGTGGAGCCTCTGGGAGCGCAGCCCTGCCAACACCTGGATTTCAGCTGGTGAAACTGATTTTGGACTTCTGACCTTCAGAACTGTACGAAAATAAATGTGTGTTGTTTTAAGCCACTGAGTTGGGGGTCATTTGTTACAGGAGCCACAGGAAATGAATATACCTCCCAATCAGGTGCAAAAATATATCTGCCTCACCTGATTTGTTTTTTTTTCCATAACAATGATCAGCACCTGAGATATTACTTTTGTGCT